TTGGAGAAAGTGAACAGCATGGGGACTCTAGTTGCCTAGATTATCTTGATATTTTGAGTTAAATGCAGGATTTTGTTTTCGCTTTGTGTGCAGTTTTTTGAGGGTACGTGGTACCACATACCATCTTTTAAAGACACGGCCCTACAAGGCAAACAAAATGCAAGAGGACAGGACTGAAAGTAGAAATTTTAAAGCTAAAATTATTGACCACATATTAAATATCCAACTCTGTGCTAAGTGCTTCGTATGTAACATTTCAGGTAAACTTGATAACAATTCCATAAGGCCAGTACTAATATTTAACAGACACAGAAATGGTCTTAGGGATGGGTAAAGTACAGTTGCTAAATGATGGAGCTGCGGATAGAGCCTACAACTCAATGATTCCAGAGCACAAATGTCCAGGCCTGTGCATTAGCCACCAATTTGCTTCAGGGAGAAGTTTGCGGACAGTTTAGCAATTACTTCTGGGGGAAACAACTTCCTGGATTTGAGCAATACGTTACTTTTTGTGTTTTATAATAGAAAAACTAACTAACAGTCAACTGGATCTTGCAACACTGCCTTCATTGTGTGAGGAAAAAAAGCACACTTGTTTAAATTCAGGATTATGAAACTTATTTTTATTTTTATAACATAAGATGTGTCAGGCTTAATCTATCTTAAGTGTTAGAGTCTTATTGCAAAAAGACTCTTTCTTCGGCCCACGTAACTTTCCCTTCAAGCTGTGTTGTTCCTATAGTGGAGTTGGTTCGACCTCCCTAACCACTATTTAAATGCTCAGTCTGAGGCAAGAGAATGCCCTATTTTCACAGGCATTTCTTATTTCGGGGGTCTCACGTTTGTTTTTAGGCTTTCTCTTCCCTCTTCTTTGGTTTCTGAATGTCTGTCATTGGTTGTATGATTGTTCCTAAGTATGTCAGTTCATGCCTTCCAGAAAGTAGACACCAAGCTAGATGGGGTTAAAAGCATGAGAGATTTATTGAGGAGGATGCCTAGGAGGGGGCGGGAACAGAGATAGGCAGGTCAAGCCTCAGGCCACAATGCAGCGTGACACCTGTGAAAGGAGAGGGGCAAGGAAAACATTGGCTAGAAAGAGCCTCAGACCACGGTGAAGCTAGGGCAAGTCTTGGACAGCCAAACAGGGGAACTCAGACACCAAAACTGCCAATAAAGGATTACTACACTGGGCAGAAATAGCTAGGTCCCATACCTCATCATGCACAGCCTTTGGCTAGGAGCTTTCCAGGGACAGAGTGGCCTTGACTAAAATGCTGCACCAGAATTTTTGCTTTTTGGTGAGGAAGTTTGGCTCTGAGCTGACACCTGTTGCCAATCTTCCTCTTTTTCTTATTTTTTTCTCCCCGAAGTCCCAGTCCATAGTTGTATATCTTAGTTGTAAGTCCGTCTAGTTCTTCTGTGTGGGACGCCACCACAGCGTGGCGTCCGCGCCCAGGATCTGAAGTGGTGAACCCCGGGCTGCCAAAGCAGAGCACGTGAACTTAAGCACTACACACTCAGGCTGGCCCCAGCTGCACCAGATTTGAAGACTCCAGCTGGTGGCTGTCAGCTAACTTCCGTCCTTAGAGAAGTTTCTCTCTCGAGGAAGATCTGAGCCACAAACCTTCAATGACTGCAGCACTCCACCCCTTTCACTCAGCAGATGCTCTTCTGCAGGTTTGGGGAAACAGCCCTTTCATAGCTCCCATGGGACTCGTCCTGAGGGGAACCTTTCAAGGAGGCAATTAGTGCGATAAACTATAGCTCTCCTCACTGCAGTTTACATGAGGGCTGCAACTGGTACTCATTATCCCCCTCCTCCAAAATTTACTCTAAATTCACCTCACTCTCACCCTCAGCTACCACCTCTGTTGGTCTCAGTGGCTTACTAGGTGATGAGACTAATCCCTCTCTCCTGAGAGACTGAAACCTAAGGCCAGGGTTGCTGCATGTGACCTTTCAAAGTAACAATTGTGTAAGAGAGTATCAAGAGGGGTTCCACACATTTTTCTCTCTGCCTGGTCAAGGAACAATAGCCCTGCCTCTTCCCGCTGATCAGTGTCAATGATCTCTTCCACAACGGAGACGCATCTTCTTGCCTGCTGGCCGCTATATAAAGGGAGTTCAAATTACCCAGGAGGCAGCTATCGCTCGTTGTTCAATGGGATCCTTGCTGTGTCTTCTAGAAAGAGTGTGGCTCCTTTGGTGACCAGGACCTCTAACTCTGTAGAGCCCAGAATTATGAGGACGGGAAGTACGAAATCCTCCAATGGTCATTGGTTGACAGCTAACTTCATTTCTCATGGCAAGTTCTCTCTTGAAGGCGTATCTCAGTGGCATACACCACAACTGCTTTATCAGTAATTGGTCCCCTACCTCTAAAAGGATTATGCATCCCCACATATTGCCATGTAACTTGCAGTGCTTCCTTGTTGGACGAGATTCTATCCCTACCCCCATGGACATCAAGTTTGTCCATAAGACTGGTTTTAGCTAATGGAATGTGAGTGAAAGATTATATGCCACAGTTGAGCAGAAGCTTTAAGAGACACTGTGTGGTTCAGTGAGTTTTTTCCTCTCTTTACCATGAGAATATATCCTTACAGGGGCTAGATCTGAGAATGAAGAAGACATGTCAAGCAGAGCCACAGCCAATGCACAGCCAACTCAATTAATACAAGCAAGAGATAAACCTTTGTTTTTGCAAATCACTAAGAATCTGGGATTGTTTGTTACTGCGAAATAACTTAATGAAATCTGACTGATGCAATATATATCTTTTTATCTGTGATATTTTGCCTGGTCTCTGGCTAGTCCCACTTGTCTCACTTTCTGATATTTGTGTCTTCCTGGCTGTTTTAGCTAACAGATATCTGCTAATTAATGGTTTTGACTATTGCTCTTAATGTTTCTGGGGTTTCTGGGTTGGCTACATTGGAAACATCTGGATATAGTTTTTGAAAACAAAAAACTCATCGGCTACACCTACAAAGATTCTGATTCAACAGATATGATTTAGTAGTTGTCCTTAGTATGGTCCAGGAGGCTTCATATTTTTAAAACTTCCTATGTTGCTATAGTAAATTCAGGAATTTATTGTATTTGTAATTCTTTAACCTTCAATTTGCTTTAGACTAATCGTCTTTACTGGTCTGTTGAACCTACATGTACCATAACCTTTATTGCTTACCCTTAGTCTTGCCTTGGAAAATGGCCTTTGTATCCAACTTATCTTAGTCCCATTTCTTCATCCTGCATTCACAGCCTGGTCAAATTAAACTGGTATCTGAGATCTGTTATTGTTTGAAGCGTACATTGTGTTTCTCTTTGGAAGAAGTGTTAGTGTGTGTGTGTGTGTATACATGTACATAAATGAACAAAAGCACAGAGAGTTAGATGAAATTGTTTTATGCTAAAAAATGTAATTTTGAAATGAAGAAGCAGAGCTAATTATCTGCCTGGGAAAAGGTGCGGACCCTATTTAGGTCAAAAGTAACAGAGAAATTGCTGATATAATTATTCCTAGTAACTCTCTCATAAATGCCTGTGTGTATTAACACATGCATAAACCCCCTCACATGGCTATGTTACTGGGAGTGAGATGACTGTCTCAGCAAATCCTTAAGTACCTTTGGTTCAATGATATGGAAACAGAAATAAGGAAAAGACATGAGTGTGCCAAATGACTGAAGCCGAAGTTGGATGAAATCAAATATCTTGTCTTCTACAAGAAAGATCAAGGCCACAATCAGCACAAATCAAAGATCAATTTTCCCATTCCACTATGCCCAGCCCCCACCTCCACCCGACCTAGTCTGCCTTAAATTCTTAATGATTTTTCACAAATCATTCCATTTGAATAAACTCCTAGTTTATTTCTTGATTGATGTTCTTGAAGAAAGCACAGAAAATAAAATGCAAGAAAACACTGCACAGGCTTAGGCTGCTTGCCAGTATGGTGTGAAAACTTCCACTTTGCCATCTCTTTGATTCTATTCGTGCTTCTGGATATCCATTGTTCTGGTTAGTGCACTGAGCTTCCAGTCACCTTTATTCTGTTTTCCAAAGATGATATATCTAGTGTCTGAATAGCAACTCAAAATATTCAGAAAAAGGTGAAGTAAATGTAAAAAAAAAATTTTTTTCTTGGTAAGAAAGACTGGCCCTGAGCTAACATCTGTTGCCAATCTTCCTCTATTTTGTATATGGGATATCACCACAGCATGGCTTAATGAGTGTTGTGTAGGTCCACACCTGAGATCCGAACCTGTGAACCCTGAGCCACCAAGCAGAGTGCACAAACCACTACACCACCTGGCTGGCCCCAATGTAAAAATATTTTTGATTGAGTGGCAAGTTTATCGGAATTGAATGCCAGAATCCAAGTCTCATATTCTTGTTGAATCCTTTCTGGTTCTATCCATAATGGTCAGATAATTGTCATAAATCTTCAACTGAAGAGAGAAAAAAAATCTCATTTCCCATTATTATTCCTACTAGGATCAAAAATTTATGACAAACATTAATAACAATGTGAAAGATGCAATTAAGAAAACTGCAAAACTTTACCTTGAATTCCATCATGTTATAAAGGGAAAGCCAACTTAAAATTAAAATTAAAAAAAGAAGCCAGAGTAAACTTGTGTCTGGAAAGGTATACTCAACAGGCTTCCAAAATTCATATGCTCAAAGATACATTTTACCATCCACGTTTAAGAAAATCAGTACAATGTTTCTTTTTTTTTTTTTTTTGAGCAAGACTAGCCCTGACCTAACTGCTGCCAATCCTCCTCTTTTTGCTGAGGAAGACTGGCCCTGAGCTAACATCCATGCCCATCTTCCTCTACTTTATATGTGGGACGCCGACCACAGCATGGCTTGATGAGCGGTGCCATGACCGCACATGGGATCCGAACCAGTGAACCCTGGGCGGCCGAAGAGGAACATGCTCACTTAACCGCTGTGCCACCGGGCCGGCCCCACTCAAATATTTCTAACAGTGTTTCTTTTTGTTTCCTCTATTGATGAATGAACATAAATGAGGCAAACTCTAGGAAAAACTCACTTTTAAAATTTTACCTTGACATTCACGCCCTTCTCTCCATAAAGGAACCACCATGACTTGATAGCTTAGAGAAAGGCCCAAGAGTCATTTGCTGTATGCTTAGGTGACCTTCAAACCGAGACTCCTTATATTTTTAAATTTTTGTTCAAACTTTCTTATGTAAAACTTAAGAACCTTACAATTGAAAACTTTGCATACTCTGAATATTTATGAGGTATTCAGAACTATCCCAGGATCAGATGATATTTTGAATACACTTCTTTATTAGGTGTTACTATTTTATTCTACCAAGCTAGCTTATCAGTAGAACGAAGTCTCTGGTGTAACTGAAGGATTCTGGAAGACTAAGAGAGGTTGATAATTCCTTCACTGATTTAAAGAAGTATTTTTCCTTCCTGCCTGCCTTCCCGCCTTCCTTTCTTCCTGCCTCCCTTTCTCCCTTTCTCTCTCTCTGTGTCCCCCACCTTGTATTTGGTAACAGAACCCCCTTTTGTTGCTGTCATTGTGTGTTTTGTTTTCCCCACTTTATTAACCAGGTAGAAGTAGGGATGGTTTTGATGAGCGGAGAAGAGATTCAAGTGCTGTCCACTTGACCTCAGTCATGCGTCAAAAGACAGTCTATGACTCATTGTCATGGAATTCTTGTCTACTTTTTAAGCCACTGCCAAGACTTACTTCAAAGTAAGAAAAGTGATTGAAGATGAAATGTGCCATGCAGTATTTTTTTTTCTTTGGAATGCTATTTTGAGAGTATCTAGATAATACCAGAATATCTGGAAATAAGTGTTAGGATTTCTGATTATAATCAAGTTATGTTTGCTTTATTGGCATATTTAATGCCAAAGTATAGAATGCTTTCATGCTAATGGAAATGTTTCTTCACTTGTCTGAAATGAAAATTTGAACTGTCGCCTGTTATCAGTGTGCTTGTATCCATGACCTTGCACACCTGCCTCCATTTCTCTTCACGGATTTCGGTTTGCTTTCTTTTACAGCATAGGTGGAGAGGTAGGACGGAGCCACGACGGCAGTTACGTGGGCAAACACTTCCGCATGGGATTCATGACCATGCCTGCTCCTCAGGACAGACTTCCCCATCCTTGCTCCAGTGGCTTTACTGTGAGGTCACAGTCCCTGCACTCGGTCGGGGGCACAGATGATGACAGCAGCTGTGGCTCCCGGAGACAGCCACCGCCCAAGCCCAAGCGGGACCCCAGCACCAAGCTGAGCACGTCCTCGGAGACAGTCAACAGCACAGCCGCCAGTAAGAGTGGGAAAGCCCCCGAGCGGACTGAAGGTAACACACACCATGCCCACGTCACTAGAAACAGATTTCAGACAGCACATTCTGGTCAGCTTGCTAATGAGTATTTGCCTTTCTCCTTGCATCGCATAATCCTGCCTCCATCTCCCGGAAGTCCCAGAAAAGAATTGGTGGGGAGGGGATTATTTACTGAGGTGTTGTTGTGACACCCAGAAAAATGTATTTAATTTCTATCATCAGAAAGGGAAGGCAATATGTGAGTTTTCTTATCCTCTTTAAAGCTCGGAATCGGGAAATTATTTTGCCTAGAAATATATCTAAAACTTATATTTGCTTGATTTTATTAGTATTACTGTAATCTGACTCAGTGAGTCCATCTCTTGGTGAGTGCAGAGCTGAAAAGTACAACCAAGGCAGAAGTAGGTGAAGAAAAGGTTTACTGCTTGCATAAGCAACGGAGAACACTGGGGATAGCTCCCAATGCCCGTCTCCCCGAGCTCAATGCTGGTGGAGACTTTATACACAAGAGAGCAGAGGATAACAGGTTTATTTGTAACAACTGTGTAACTACTCTGTTCAATCAGAGCATGTGCATAGCAGGTAAGCATGCTATTACATACATTGCATGATCTGAAAATGGCTATTTGGACCCGGAGGAATAGAATTTAAGGTGCTAATAAGTTTAGGTAACTTTAGGACACTTGGTGCTGGAACATTTTGCAGGGATCTTGCTGCAAATGTGTAAGCCTCTTTGTAAGAGAGCAACATCTGCAAAATGGGGACATCATTTTCTGCAAAACAGAACACATAGTTTCTTCTTGCTGAAAAACATTTGACAGGCCATGTTAGTTGTTGGTGAGGTCCTCAATTACCCTTTCTTTGCCTGGTTCCCTGGTCACATTACTTGTATAATTATGGAAGTATTATATGAGTATTAGGGAAACCTGGTAATGCAGGAAAATATGAAGAAGAAAAGAATGTGATCATCTTTAGAAACAATCGTTTTTTTTACATTTTGGTGTACTCCTTTCAGGGAATATGAATTTATATGTATGTGTGCATGTTTGTAGTATATAAATATATATTTGTGTGTGTATATATTTGTCTCCAATATTTATCTCTAATTTCTACCTATACCTATATTTTTCATCAGCTATCAAATAACGCAAATCAAAAATATCTCAGCCTCCTGGCTGGTCTATGAATAAATTAGGTCAAGTTAACCCCAGATCTCACCAGTTCTTTAGCCCTCACTTGAATAAGTAAGTTGCTTTCCTGAGTTTTTCTTGAGAGTCCTTTGGTGGGAGAGCAGTGTCAAGCGTGCTTTGATACAAGCCCATTCAGATTTTTGTATGTTAGTTGTGGAAAACACTTCAAGGTTCCCAGTGCTGCCAGTGGCCAGCTTGAGAGCACAGCTCTGCCAGTTCCCATAGTCTTTCTTCTGTCCTTTCTGTCCCTGACATTCTCCACAGCAAGCTTCCCTGAGCCCCCAGGGTACTAAGTTTCGCAATGGTGTGCCACAGAGTGGAAGGCAGGCGGTCCTTTCCTCAGCTGGGCAGGGTTCTTTGTCACCTGGGCACCCGGGTCCCTCATGAAAGCTTCCTCATCTTCTGGTCTAATCTTTCCACAGAAGCTCAAACCTAGTCCATGAGGTAGTGTGCCCATGAGGCATGTTCCGTCTCTTCCATTACCCTCTTCTCTCCTTTCTTCCATATTGATGCCCAAGTGCCTTCAGACAGAGAACAAAAGCTTCAGTGCATACCGAACAATACGAATAAATGCCTCGAGATGGAGCTAATCCATCCACTCTAGAAGGAAAATATCCACTTAGGCTCAGTTTTTCTGCTACATACATATGCAAAAATACATCACGAGTATGTGTACATGTGTGAGAGAACAAATATGAATAACATGTACGTGTACGCATATTTACAAAATTGAAATCATAGGACATAGAGTTTTGTGTTTTCCCTTATTCTCTTATGACCATTTTCCATGGCATCCAATTTGTTAAGAAACACCATTTTTAAGTAAAAAGTGTACGACAATACTTTATTTAATCGTTATCTCCTTGATGAATACTTAGGTTGGTTCTCATTTGTATTGCCGTAATGACTAGTGCTGACTAGCGTTGCAATGAATATGTGTGTGTCTGTCTGTTATTTGTGTAACTCTCTCTATTGTTCCTCTGCTGCCTGAGGGTAGATTAGAAATGTGATCCTTTTTTCTCCTGATTCAAGGTCATCAGTATGTCCTTCAAGTTGTAACACAGTGACAGTTTTAGAAACTATTTAGGTGTTTCATTTCCTTGTTAATACACTAAAGGGCCCTAGAGATCTGACTTTGCAAATTTGAAATATTGTTCTTAGGTTTCCTCTGATATCGATATGTGGTACCTTTCTCTTCTGTTTATTTTCTGTGACCTTGTTTCCAGAAGTCCTCTCTCTCTCCTACTTTTCTGCCAGAAAACTATGTAATCACTGACATTAGATTGCAAATAGAAGTTACTGTTTTACAGTAGTGGTCTCTGAATGATGATCTAGAATGTGCTCGAGAATGCTTCAAGAATAAAGGGGAATAAAACAACCCTCTGAAGGGGAGGGGAGAGATGAACCAGACAAGGAAAGCAGTGAGTAAGGAGTGTGTTAGCAAGCAGTGTAATGCTGCTGGAAACATTCCTGGAAGAAGTGTGAAATAAACACCTCAGAACAGCGCCCTTCAGGGGAGAGTGACCTAGGGTATTCACAGTGAACACATGGGCAAAATCATGCTGATTGTCCCGTAGCTGAAACATTTGAGTGGCAATTCAATTGTCTTAAAAAAAGAACTAATTACCATTCCTTTGGGATGCTTTGGGTACCTAATTCCTGAGGCAGAGAAGCTCATAATTCTTTCAGAACCCTTCGCATCCAAGGATATAGGGTTCCAAATAGCTAGTTATCAAACAGAAGACCGCAGCTCTACTAACTTTATTTCTTCCGAGGACAGAAGAGGAGATAGTGACTAAGTTACAGCAGCAGCAAAGACTTAAGTTAGACTTGGAAAACTACTTGATGGGCAGTGAGGCTTATTAAACACTAAGTCCAAGTTCAACATCGCTCCTCAAAAGGAGCTCTAAGGATGGATTGAGGAGCTTTCAGCTATATTGTGTCTTTGAGGATGGTCAGTGGACCAGATAGACTCTCAGGATGCGGTGCAGAAATGAGCGATTCTCAATGCAAATTTCACCTTCTCTTCAGAAGACTTATTAAAAAGGGCAATTGCAAAACTGGATGCATTCATCACTTCAATAACAACAGGAGAGAATTAGGGCTCAGTTCAGAGATGGGGGAAAAATCTTGAGTCCAAATGCATGCGTGCATATGTGTGTACTCAAAGCCAAAATTGTATAAATATGTAGATTGGTCTTTTATGAATTCTCAGTTCTGCATAATTGTGAGTTAACTGGAGTTCATTACAGAGCATATGTTTTCTTTACAATTTTTCTAGCTATCAAAATTATAACAAAGATGAAAAGTGACTTTTATAAATCTTAGTCTGTCTTTTCTTTTTACATTAAATGCCAGCAAAATCAAAATATTGATTCAGTGGCATTAGAATGATTTCCATGGTAACTGGCTCCTGTTTAAGTAGGAGATTATGACTTCCCTGTGGATAGAGGTAAAAATGAACTGGACTTGTGGCAAAACAGCTTTTCAGAGTAGGAAAAAAAATAGTTTAATGATGAACACAAACCAAAAAAAATCACATACCAAGCAAAGTATAATTCAGTTTTTAAAAATTATAATTCTGTCCATTAAACATACACATTTACTATTTTATTTTAAGACCTTCTACAGTAATAACTCCTTTAAAAAATTATATGGTAGAGAAGATAAACTGGCAATAAGTATGTGATAAATATTTTAATTGTTCTTTTCTGTTGCTTCAGTGTGGTAGCTGCTTAGTTTGAGGAAAGATTAGATGAAATAAAGGGAGTTAGCCAGGAAGAATGAGGGGCCCTTCAGGCTGTGTCTTATGTATGATCCAGAAAATGCAGTAACCGTGTGACCTCACATCCGCCGTTCCCATTGCTCAGGTAAACGTGTATCCCATTCCTCAGTAGCGTCGTTGTTAGAGATGCTGTGCGGTGCAGCAAAAGCGACTGTATTGAGAATCAACACACAAACATTGATTTTGGGTGAACGACCCAATGAGACTGTTTCTTTACCTTTAAAATGATTATAAAGAACTGCCAATTGTTGGTGCCCTGCCTCCCTCACAGCCTTATGACGACCTAAGGGGCTAATGTCCATGATGGTGGATGGTAGAAAGAAACTGCCATACAAACATAAGTTAGTACTATTTTAAATGTGTAATTACCACCTATTGGGAGACCTGGATACCAAGAAATTTTGGTTTGGTGAAGCACATATAATAAAAATAAATAGGAGAGGAAAAGAAAGGCCATATGCACACACGCTCTATGTGTTAGAGGCCTAAAAATTTTACACAATGGCCTGAATAAACAGGGAAGTATTGTCCAATGTTCTCTCTTTTCGTAATATTATGACATTAGTAAAATGTTTGGTATAATGAGGAAAATATTTTTATTAAACTTCAAGTACCACTACACTTTAAAGTCCTTTAAAAAAAACCAAAACTAAATATTCTTAACTTCCACTTGTTATGAACTCTTCCTTCAAGTCAGTTCCAGCCTTAATTTATGATATTATTTCATGATGCTCTCTTTACAAAGTGATAAAGAAATACTTTTGGATTTGGATAGTTTTCCTGGTTTCTGATCTGGAGATGTTTATTAGAGTTATATATGTGATTCAAAAATTGGAATCCCTGCAGGAGTATTTGGAATCATGACTGCCCTTAAAACCTTGAAATGTGTGGTTGAGCGAGAACCAATGGAGGAAGGCTGAGTTCACTAAGGTCACTGCCTTAAAAACAAAAACCCAAGCAAATTCCTGCTTAAAAGTTACCAAAAAAAGTAAATTACAGCCTTTAACAATGTTATTTTTCGTGCCTTCATTTATTCAGCC